GTAGTTGGGAAGGCCCCAGGGGATACATGGCAGCAGCATGGAGAAGCGGGCATGCTTCCAGCTTTGCTGATGGCGCTCCCAGTTTCACCGCTGTGTGCTGGGGGGCCCCACCTACATGTGCTGTGTGGCACCGCAGACAGGGCTGCAGTGCCACATAGCACATGTCCACACTTGTCTGGATGCGGCCAGAGTGCTAATGAATTAAACCCTGGTCCCATCTGAATACGGTAAACTTCAGTAGAAATGAGAATTTAGACTCATGTTCATAAATTCCAGTATCAAATAGTTTGTTTTGGAATTGCGATCCAGAGGTCATAAATAAACCAAAATGAACATTTTATTTTGAAGCACGTAAGGAGGAGTTCTGTTCATTTAAGTTTTGAGTATCCTAGATTTTACTCTGCAGCTTCTATCCCAACTCTTTCCAAATCTGGATGCAAAGCGAATATAACAACTTCTCAGACATAGCATTAAAGGTAACTGATTAATTGATACAGTAAATATGTTGGTAATAGAAGATGGTACTTACCTTCCCAAGCATTGAATCCAGATCTGCTGCATTTGCTGTCAAAGGAGAATATTCATCAGCTTGGATAATATTTGTTACATCAAAGTCAGCATCTGGTGTTTGTATCATCTTTGACAGCCCATCAACAGCACTTTTCAGTTCATATAAGCGTTTTAATATCTCTTCTTGGTGGGATTCAAGTGCTTGAAGTGATGGGTCAGCCTCTTCCTAGGAAGAAATTAAAATTTTTACTTAAAGTCAGCACAAATTCTAGATAGTCACATCACATCTCAATTTAAACAGAGATATTAAAACTCATTTGTTAGTGACCTATACATTCCTATGAGCAGAAGACAGTTTAATATTAGCTTAGAAATATGCCTGTTATTTAAATAGCTTACTAAAATCCTATTGGTTAAAATATCGCAAGTTGTCTTTAAAAACTTAGTTTCACATGTTGATAGCTGTGTCTACATATTAGCTATTTTGAGTCCTGATTGATCTACACAGATATTTTTTAAACACCGGAAAACAGCAGACTTTAACTACCTGAACATTTCATGGGAAGAGCACTCGGCCAAATCCAATCAGTTGCAAAGCTTCCTTACCTGCGTGGATGACCTCTACCTAACCCAAGAAATCTACGTGACAATGAGAGGTAAAGCGTTGCTGGACCTAGTACTGGCCAGAGGGGATGGTCTAGTCAGTGAGCTAAGAATCGATGGAAAGCTGGGTGACAGTGACCACGAGCTGATCACCTTTACTATCAATCGCAAAGCTGGCAAGTCAGTCAGCAATACAGACGCCCTTGACTTCAGGAAAGCAGAGTTTTTCAAGCTCAGGAGGTTCACTGTCGAGGCCCTAAGGGACCACGACTTGACTGGCAGAGGAGTCCAAGAGGAGTGGTTGCTCCTCAAGGGAGCGATCTTGATAGCACAAGGGATGGCCATCCCATCTTGGAGGAAGGGTAGCAAAAGGGCACAGTAACCCCTTTGGCCCACCCAGCATGGAACTTGAGGACCTCCCATGCCTCAAAAGAGAGACTTATAAAGGATGGAAGGCTGGAAGCACCACCAAGGAGGAGTACTTGGCACTGGTCTGTACCTGCAGGGAGTGGATCAGGAAAGCTGAGTTTCATCTGGCTACACATATCAAGGAATAACCAAGTCCTTTTTCAGATACGTAGGCAGTTGGAAAAAAAAGCAAAGGTAACACTGGACCCCTGCTGAACCAAACGGGACAGCTGATAACTGACACTCAGGAAAAGGCCAGTCTGCTCAATGGGTACTTTGTGTTGGTCTTTCATCAGTCCAATGGGACTGCCCTGCCTAGCAAGAAAAATCAGCCAACTGTGGCCTCGGCTTCACCACAGTCCAATGGCTGGGTAATTGGCTCCGAGGTTGGACCCAGAGAGTAGCGGTTGATGGTAGCGAATCATCATGGCGCTCCGTGACCAGTGGTGTCCCCCAAGGCTCTGTCTTTGGACTGGTTCTTTTTAATATCTTTATCAATGATGTGGACATTGGTGGCAGAAGCACACTGGCTACATTCACCAATGACACTAAACTTTGGGGCACAGCATCCACACTTGAGGGCAGGCTAGTAATCCAGGCTGACTTGGATAAACTTAATAAGTGGGTGGATACAAACCTGATGACTTTTGATACTGATAAATGTAAGGTACTCCACCTCAGGAGAAAAAACCTGCAGCATACTTATAGGCTCGGCAGTGCTACGCTTGCTAGCACCACGGCTGAAAGAGACTTGGGGGTCATGATTGACCACAAAATGAACATGAGCCACCAATGTGATGTCGCAGCTGGCAAAGCAAACAATACACTGGCTTGCATCTATAGATACTTCTTAAATAAATCTCAGGATGTCATCCTCTCGCTGTACTTGGCCTTGGTGAGGCCGCAGCTGGGGTACTGCATCCAATTCTGGGCTCCACAATTCAAGAAGGATGTGGAAAAGCTTGAGAGTGTCCAGAGGAGAGCCACGCGCATGATCAGAGGGCAAGAAAACAGGCCTTATGAAGAGAGGCTGAGAGCCATGGGACTCTTCAGCCTGGAAAAGCAAAGGCTTGGGAGGGGGGGCCTGGTGGCTGCCTATAACTACATCAGGGGCGTACATCAGGATCTGGCAGAACATCTGTTCACCAGAGCACCCCAAGGTAAAACAAGGACCAACGGTCATAAACTCCTCCAAGACCATTTTAGGCTGGACATAAGGAGACATTTCTTTACTGTCTGAACCCCGAAGACCTGGAATGGACTCCCTCCAAAAATGGTGCAGGCACCTACTCTGGACTCTTTCAAGAAGCATTTGGATGCTTATCTGGCTGGGATCCTGTGACCCCAGCTAACTTCCTGCCTCTGGAGCAGGGGGCTGGACTTGATGACCTTCGAGGTCTCTTCCAGCCTTAATGTCTATGAAATTTATGAAATTCTTAGTTAGTCTATGTATCTGCACCAAAATTAATTGATTCACATTTTTTATTTTGCTGCAAATCCATCTGTTGTTCCCTTTATTTGACAGGAAGGGAGTCCTGTTTCATTTTAACATACAAGTTAGATGGTACAAGAATTCTCAAAAGGAACATAACTCTCTGCCCTACCGTAGGAAGGCTGTGCACAAAAACTTAGGATGTGATTACTCTGTAGTTAATGTATTTATATTTAAATGTTAACTTTGCAATTTAAAAGGCAAGAAGCACATAATAAGGGGAAAAAACCCTTATATTTTTGGGGCACAATGCTGCAGGAAAAGATTAGTTCTACTGCATGTCTACGGCCTTTCCTATGATTACCTTCCCGTCTCAGTTTTCTGATCTGTAAGATAGGGCTAATTATACTTATATCATCTCTGAAAGATATATTAGGACTGATTAATCTCCATAGAGGGCCTGAGTGGATGAAGTGCAAAATCCCTGGAAAAACTATTAAACAAGTTATTAAACAATCAGTTTACAATCACCTACAAGATAAAAAGTGGCATTGTCAAACTAACCCAATTCCCTTCTTTATATCAGGGAAACTGGCCTAGTGAATTAAGGGAAAACAGAAGATAAAGTATAGCTTTAACAAAGTTTTTCTCATAAAGAAAATAAGAAAATACAGTCTAGATTAAATTATCATAAGGTAATTATGATCCATGGATCAACAGTGTTCCCCAAGAAATGTAGTGATCACTGCCAGTCTGTGGGCAGGAAAGGGGGATTTCAAGTGGTCTGAAGGGGTCTGAATTGTAGAGGTGCACTGATACACCAGTCTGATATCGGCTCCACACCGATACGAAGAAAATGTACTATATCAGAAATGTGCCTTATCAGGCCGAAAATTTGGCCGATAAATGGCCTGTGCACATGTGCAGCCGCAGCACAGCCTAGCAGTGTGGACAACTGCCTCCAGCTGATGAGTCTGATGTGGTGGAAAGGGGAGAGGGGAGGTTAGGAGCATGGGGTTGCAGATCAAGGACCCCGCAGCAAGGGAGGGAGGGAGTGGGGCAGGGGCAAGCGCTGCCACTGGACTGTCTCCACCTTGCCCACATCCTTTCTGTAGTGAGGGACCCAACACTGGACACAGGACTCCAGGTGTGGCTGCACCAATGTGCACCCACCCACCCCCAGAGAATTATTTCCTGCTCTACTTGCTGCTGGTAACGCTTTAGCTGAATTAAGAAAGCTGCAGACACTGGAAAGCATCTAGGGCAGCACAAGGAGAACAATATGAGTTGTATAATAACACATGGTCTAGAGGCAATGGGTGAATGAAGGAGCTGGCTTGATTTGGGCTGGATGAAATAGGCGCGGGGGTGAGTAGGCCGGGTCGTAGGGGGGGGCCGGTGAGGAGCAAGCGTCAGTTCACCCGCAGCGGAGACACTTGCAGGCGGTAACAAGCCCCCCACGCAGGTCAGAGCAAGCTGCCGCGGGGAGGCGGCCTCACTTCACCTTCCTCCATCATGACCCCCCCCAGCAGGAACCCGAGCCCGGCCACCAGCCCCAGGCGGGAAGCGGGACCTGCGGGCGGCCGCACAGATTCTCCCAACCCTCTTCCGCCTCACCCCCCCCAGACAGGAGCCGCTGAGGCGGGGCGGCCCCTCCGCTCCTACCTGGGGTGCGCTGGCGGCGGCCACGCCGCAGTGCACGCTGGGCAGCCGGTACATGCAGGTGGGGAGCGGCTCAGCCAGTAGCACGCCGGGCCCCCCGTGCACGGGCCTCACCTTGTACATGGGCATCGCAGCGCTCACGCGGCAGCTGCCCCACCACCCGCCCGGAAACAGCCAAGCGACTTCCACTTCGCCCACCCCCTCCCCTGATTGGGCTGCGGAGTCCTTCCGGACACGAGAACACCCCCACCCCGATTGGCCGAGGAGGCGGACAGATGCCAGCGCGGGGCCTCCTAATAGGCCGGACGGAACATCCTATCCGCGTGCTGCAAAAGAGAGCTCGCGCGGGATTGGACAAGGCTATCTCCCGCCGGCCAATGAGCGCCTGAGTGCTGAGGTGAGGCTGGCGCCTCGGGGCTGTGGATGTGCCATGGAGATGGAGGCCTGGTGAGGCCACCCCGTCCTCCCTCTCCCCCGCCTCCTAGCCCCCCTCAGCGGGCGGCGGCGGCGGCG